GGGGGGGGGGTGCAGTAATCGAGCCGTTTACTGCATGTGACTAAGAGGGATGTTTAATGCTTTAATGTCTGATTCCAAAGGCAAAGCAAAATGTAGTTTTATCAATTCTGTTGCACAAGATTACATGGATGTCTCACTCTAAAAGAAATTGTAAGAATGTACATTTGGTATGTTTATGGTTAAAAAACCTGTTCATGGTTCAGTAAAGAAAATTTTAAATGATTTTAAAACATATACTGCTTAGTTCTGTGTTAATGGATCAGGAAATGAAAATTATGCCCATCTGATTTTTTTTTTCTCTAAATAAAATAATTCATCAAAAGAATGACAGGGCCGTGCCTAGATTCTCTGTTTTCCCACTTATTTAATTAGACACTTATTATAGGCAGCTAAGTTGATAAAATCACTAAATGACATATGCTGATAAAAAAAATACAACAAAAATGCATTGAGTTTTTTATTGTGCATCCCAATCCCTAACTCTGGATAAGCACATAGAGGTTTTTAGTGCAGCCAGAATGTTTTATTGATGGATTAAGAGTTTATTTTAGGGCTTTTTGCGTGAGAGGGCCTTTTAAAGGGCGACACAAGTGGCTGAACTTTGCTAAATGCCCTTTTCTGTGGGTGCTGAGATGGTGCAATTTAAACTTAAAACTTATTCAATGTTTCAAGAGAATTAGGGAGCTTTGTGTTACTGGGCAAAGATAATGGGAGACGCCGTTTTAAGAGGGTAGGGATTGATGTAAATCAAACAACTGGGATTTCCTGTTTCCTATATAGGAAAATCGGCTCCTGTGGGCTGATGGATGACTGTTAGATTAAATCTGAGGTTTAAAGTCGACTGGTGGTCGAAAGGTTTCTCAGTGCAGACCTAAAACCAGACCAGTGGAATGTAGCATCTATGAATCAATCAAATCTGATTCAAAGGCATCAAACTAATTTGGATTCGCTTGGAGCAGAACCACTGACCCCCCCCTCTCCAAACCAACGCTGGTAAAACTCCTGAGGTTTAAGCTAATAGAGCAGGGATGATGGCAGAGCGGTTAGCCTGTTACCAAGCAACAAATAAAACGGAAACGTAAAGACCAATCAGCGAGCGGCAGAATAGGCTTTGCTCCTCGTAGAGGGATTATCAGGCAGTGTGAAATGAAGTCTGATTATACCACCCCCAATGATCCCCCCCCAGCACACACACTCCTCCAGCTGTCCTCAATCCACCTCTGTTCATTTCAAAGCTTTTCACCAATGCACTCATCTTGGTGTGTTAACTAATAAAAACACGCCCCGTTTTCTTTATGAAGACGTCACGTTGTCGCTCCCTCTGAGATGTGTCCGCACAAACATGTGGAGGCTCAGCAGCAGCTGCTGTTTGGCTCGCTCCCATAATCCCTCCAGATAGAGGCGATATGTGCGCTGACATCTGCTGCCCCCGTCATCGGCGGTTCAACTGGGGCCAAGTTTGCCACAGGCCACATTCAATTGTCCTGTGAGCACAGAGCAGCGCTCACAGGCTAACCTCGGTCAGCTGCGTTAAAGAGGTGAAGGTCAAGTTGTTGACTGATTGGGAAAGACTCGTCTTTAGTGGTGCCACGTGCATTTAATATCAAAGTGGAGAGAAATATCTCATCCTATTTTCTCACTGACGACCAGCATTGTCAAAATGTAAGCCCCCAAGTTCCTGGGGACCCCATAAAACTCTGTTTCCATGTATGGTTAATCCAACTATTCCTTATTTGTGCACATTAATTATGTTTTAGATAAAAATCCTTTGGCTAAAATGTCATCAGAAAGCTTAGTGTTGCCAACTAAATGCTTTTGTTGCTATATTTAGCAAATTTTCAGACCCCTCTGGTACTTTCAATATACAAGAGCCTAGTGCCACATCTAGGCACTTTTTCTGCTACTGGAGACTTTGGAGACAACATCTAAAAGCAGCGAACTCTGCTCTCCAGAGCAAGTAGATTGGTAACCCC